ATGAATGGGCCTTGGCATCAGGCAAACCCAGGTTTAAATTTCTTGACTCTTGCATCAAGTTTGAACACTGTTCCATTGCCGATTTAGGCTCACTTTGTCATCTGTAAAATGGGTGTGTGAGTGGTTGCTATTATGGTTCCCCTCTTGCAAAGATGGAAGCATCTATGTGTCTAGCAGGTTTTAGGTGACCGGATGTATTAGTTTTCTTTCCTCTTTTATTTTTTTTCTTTTTTAGGTTGCTAAAGCATCATACCTCATTAATTTTTATACCCTGAACTGGTGATGCAGATAGTCAGTAAATGCCAATTGCATTCACTATTATCTGCTTTGCTCTTGGTGTTGGGAAGATGGGGCTGGATCACCTATTAGCTTAAAGCATTGTAAAATGAAGTGTTCTCAAGAATAACATTTTCAAATCACAAACCTTATCAAGTTCTTCCTCAAACCTCACCTCTTTCTCTGACTTCCTACCCATCAAAAGCTCTCAGAACAGAGGGGGAAAGTCTTACCCACAGATTTACTGCTTTTAACAGAGGCAGGCATTGTGGCAAAGTGAAAATGATGTCTTTGATTGACAATGTGAAGACTTTGCAAGAATGACTTGTGAAACAATATAAGCTGTCATTTGGCGTTTTGGTTTGACATTTGTTTGCAGTGATTTTTTAACTGCAATTAAGGGAAGCTAAATTTTTACACATGTGTTAAGAAAGTTGATTTCCATTTTCTTTTTGGTGTAAGAATTTAAAGCTTCAATTTTTTAAGTAAATACTCATAACTCCATGTAGATCTTAATTTGCTTATTGTGCCAACTCCTAAAATGTCATTTTTATTAAAAAAAAAAAAAAAAAAAACTCTGGTGCAACTGCAGGATAGACCTACAGATAGCCACACCTCCCTCTCCACTGTGTGATTTATGTCACCTCAGTCTTAATACTCAAGGTCTATGAGGGGATTGTATTTACATAGTTCCAAGGAATAGCAAGAAATAACCACTGTCTCCCCAGAGACTGATACCGCGACACATAGTAGGCACTCTGTCGGTGTTGAGTGGATGGATGCATGGGAGTATGCATGGGAATGCACTCAATCCCCATGAGACCACCTATCCCAGAACTTAAATTCAGGTGTGCCTAGCTTCCTCTCAGGCCCAGAAAGCTTCTGACTTGCTAAAGATCAAAGCCAGGAGTTCAGTTCAAACTGGATTCTAGGAATAATCTTCACTGGGTTATTTAAATTGAAATTTAGGACCTAACTCTATTTTAAATTTAAATTTAGGACCTAAATCTATTGTTTCCTATAACTGAAGCATCACTGTCTCTAGAACTGATTCTAAAGAAGACATTGGTTTATTTGTATGATATTCAAGAAAGACTACTTATTTTCTGCTTTTCACAACATGGAAAAATATGGACTATGTTTCTAACAATGAATGCAGTATTTATTTTTATTCTTCTAGATTTTTAACAAAAAGACTCACTAGAATCAAAGTTGTTCCTTTCTGGTTTCTTTCCTACAAGGTTGCATTTTCTTTATAAATGTCCGAGGCTGGTTTTGTTATACTCAGCTTCATGAAGCCCTTTCCATGGTGCGCTATATCAAGCAGGGTTTTTACTTTTTGGAATCAGGACAATCTTTTCACACGTATAATCATCTCTGTACACATTGCTCAGTGCTCATTCCCTGCTAGCTAAAGACAGTAGGTGTCGGTAACACTGTGTGTAATTATTCTGTCTGCCTTGTCCCATTGAAGACTCACTCTGACGAGTTCTTAAGTGAGGAACAGAGGCTTAGCAGGAGTCAGAAATATGAAAGTCCTTCTCACGTCTCTCGCCATAATACCGAGCAAAATTACCATCACAGACACAAGTTCACAGTTTCTATACCAGTTCACTGAAAATGCCTTAGACTTTGTGGGAAGGTCATAAGGAGCTTCATAATTCTTTGAAAATTCAGGGAAGAGTTATCACTACGTCACATTGTTTGAACCTGGCCTACTATATTTTTGTTTCTCTCTAATCTATTTGACTTTCACAGTTTTTGTTCTAATAGAATCCAGTTAACAGTGATGTTTTGTACTGGGTCTGTCAGAAGGATATAATTTAAGTAGATTCTGTTTTTGGTGGTATCAAAATCATAACTTCCTCCAGGGAGGCCGAAATGAAGTCATTGCAAATATTCAAAACCGCCTATTTCAGAGTAAAGGCAACTTCTAATGTACTCACAGGCACCCATCTAGAAATGCCCACTGGAATTTTCTAATCAATAAGGCCTTTTTCCAAACAGGACTCTTGACTTGAGAAATAAAGTGCATCAAATTGCCAGGACTCTGCTTGCCAGTCATTTCTAACAAGTGGCTGATGTGCATGTCCATTCTGTGACTGGCATTTTGAAAACCAGGTTTAGTGTCACTTTTTCCCCAATTGACTGTTCTTCCTTATTTGACTAAGCTTACTATTATAAGATTCTAATCTTATACCTGAACCATGTAATATCACTTGAAAGTAGATCATTGTATTAAATTCCTGTTGCTGCTAAATAAACTGCCACAGACTTAATAGCTTTAAACACAAATTTCTTGTCTTACATTTCTGGAAGTCAGAAGTTACAAATGAATGTTCAAGGACTAAAATAAGGATCATCCACTCAATTTTTCATTTCAACTATTATATTTTCCATTTCTACAGATTTCATTTGCCTCTTCTTAAAGTTTCATTAGTTATTCAAATCAGCCTTTTATTTACTTGAGCACATGAAGCATCCTTATTTTATATTTTGTATCTGAAAATTCAGTATCTTTAGACTTTGTGAGTTTGATGATGCTGTCATTTGTTCATTCCTCCTCTGAGGGGCTTTTTACAAACTATGTTTCTATGATTATTAGATCATTATCTCATAGGTCTTGCATCTTTACCTGTAGGGCATACTTAGAGCCTCAGGTCGAAAAAGACTTCTAGAAGTCCCTCAACTTGGCACTTTTCCTACTAAGCATCTGGGGTAATGCCACCTTAAGATGTCTTCTCCACTAGAAGCTTTGGACACTGAGCTGGCACGAATGCAGGAATCAAACCTACAATAGGCACAAGGTTCATATTTTCACCTTTACCTGGCACCAAAATTCAAAGTAGGCAGTTTCCATTTGTTCCTTGAGAAGACATGCAATTTGTATTTTAAACATACCCAGTGAATGTCATACACACACACACCCAGTATCCTGGGAAGCAGCTTTACGAACTTCCTCTTAGCCTCCCCCCTCTTCTCTCCTGACTCCTGTGTCCTTCATGGCTGTGACATGCAAAACTCAAGTGCATAAAGAGTGGCAGGCACCTTGCAGAGGAGAGAGGGCTCGCGTGCTCTATTTCTTGTTCTGCTCTTCTTTTCGCTTCATCTTTTTATTTCTAACTTTTAGGTTGGAGTAACTTTAGGTTCACAGAAAAGCTGTAAGGACAGCACAGAGCTTATGTTTTCCTTTGGTCTATCTTTCCTAACTATGGGACATCTGTAAAACTGAGAAATTAATGTTGGTATAATTCCATTAACTAACATAAACTTTACTTAGATTTCACTAATATGTCCATTGATGCCCATTTTCTGTTCTTTCTTTTTGTAGTTGGCAATATTTCTTTTTCTGTTCTTTCACTTGAATTTTGTTCTCTGGATCTTTCACCCTTTTTGTCAAATTTAGTGAATTTTAAGATACTTCACCATGCATTCCAACTTTACTTATTTCAGTAGAAAAGTTGTTAAGTTACCTAGTCCAACACTGCTGGAGAAGAGAATCTGAAGGGGTTTTTTTTTCTCATATCAGTTTTCTTCAAACAATATTCATAATCCTGGTTACCAAATCAAATGTCTTTCCTCATATTTGTGGTCTTAAAATGTTCTAACCTAAAAATGTAAGCACTTTTTTATGGTGAAGAATATTTAATAATTCTTTGAGGGTAACACTAGAATTAGCACAAGACATAGATTAAGAACTTAATATAATACTGTGGGAGGGAAATAAACTCAAGAGCCTATTGAGACTGGTGTTATCTGTAAAAGAAGGGGGAAATAGTTTGAGGTACACTGGAAAACAATGTGTGTTGTGGAGTGGATGTGTTATCTCAAGGAGGAGGAGTCAGAGACGACTCAGTGGACTGCAGGAGATGATGCAGGAGATGATGGTGGGATTTTTTTTTTTTTTTGATTCATGGAATCTTTGGTGTGGGTAGATCATTAGAGTGGAGATTTCCAACAACAGGAATAAATGAAAGTCTCAAGCTTGAGAAGAAAGGTCAGAGCTAAAAGAAAGAAAGTTAGAACAAGTTGGAATAAGTAAAGGAGAAAAATCAGAAGGAGAAAAATAAGAAGCCTCTTGGTGATTGTAGAAAGGGGAAGAAACCCGCAGGAACAATCACTACTAGAGTGGTATTCAGTGCCCTTGTGAATGGCACTCTTGAAATCTCTTGTCTGGTTCCACCCAGAGACTTACAGACCAAGAGTATTATCGATTTATGTAGATTAAAATGTTCTTGTGTTTTCTCTTCACTCTCTAATGCTTTCTGTCATTATAACACATGTCTAGCATTACCACCTACTTTACTTTGCTTATTTCTATCCCTATTTTAGATAAATGTAACAGGACCTGCTATAACAGTATGTTGATTTTATGGAATACCCCAACATAGTTCCCTCTTTTTAAGAAACAAAATATTGTCCAGAGTGATTTTCTAGTCATAAACATTTGAATATGTAACATCTTTTTATATTTTGGACTCCACATGTTATTATTTCAAGCAAAAATAGTAACATTGCCTATTAAGCAAATATTAGGTGTGATAAAATACTTTCTATACAATGTTTGTAAATTGCTTTCAACAGTTAAAATGGTATCTAATCGCAGTGTCTATATTGCTAAAGGGAGTAAGTTGTGAAATAGCATTCTCTACCACCAGGAACTGAAATATAGGAACAGTGTTAGGGGTGAGTCTTGACTCATTTGTTGGGCTTATGGTTTTCAGGGAATTGATGCTAATTTCACATCAGAAAAGCATTGAGCAGCTGCAGGAAACCCTTAGACAGAAGCTGCTGGGCGATGATAACTGGAGGGAGAAGGTAATGAAAATGTGCCTTTCTTCAGCATGTGTATGACTTGCTTTTTAATGATTCTATTTATCAGAAGACTATCCCACATAGATTTCTTTGCTTTTCTGCATATTTTTGATTCCTTCTGGAATTTCCTGTACCAAACATATTTATGATGTGTGTCTCTTCTAAAATATTAGACAACAGGGAGAAAGTAGTAGAGAAATAATTTTAATATCTTGTAAAATAAGGATAGTCCTTAGTTTTCATACAAGCATAAATTTTACCTTTAAATATTTATTATTTTCCTCTTAAATAATAGAATCCTCATTTTGCCATATTCTAAGACGCATGAAATATTAATTCTTACAATGTTTCTGCTTCTAAGAAGGTAGTATATGGGAATGGAAAATAACAAACTTACTCAGTTATGAACTTTAAAGATATTTCCCTAGCAAAATAAAAACTATGTGTTTTTAAAGCAGACAGTGCCCGTTTAATTTAAAAAAGGCTACAGAAAAAATAAAATTTCTCATCTTTAAAGAGTCCATACTTTGAAGTCTGCCTTCAAAGTACAGGGTATTAAGAAGTTTTTATTAAGACTATGTATTTATGCCACTATTACTGACAAAGCTATGCTCAAAAAAAAAAAAAGCATTGACTTTTTGACTTTTGACTTGGACTTTCTATATTTTTCAAAATTTCACAATGAATATGTATTACTTTCTAAGTATAAAGAATAAAAGTAATATTTTGAAATTGTTATCCCCACCTCCTCACGTCATACACAGCTCGAGGCGTTGAGGCAACAGCCATCCCCCTGCCAGAGACTCTGCTGCTGCTGGATGGAGCCTGGGCCTTGCCCTGCACTGGCCCTTCCAGCCCCCCTTTCTCAGCTGGTGCCAACCCCCAGCACTAACCTCCCTCTTGGTTTTATGATTATGCTTTTGGTGTATATGTAGCATAAAGCTGGCTCGAAATTCTAATGACTTGGTTAACATCCTTAACCAAGGATTCTTGTTATTAGATTCACCTTGAGGACTGGACCCCATAACTTACAACTGAAAGCAACAACTGGTGGCCACCTTCAGAGGAGCACTCTCCCTGCCACCCACCCCCCATCTCTGCCACCCACCAGCTTGAAAGCCTTTAAGTATCGTTGCTGACTCGGGTCAACTCTGAATTTGTCACTTTTCACTTCCATCTTCAGCCAGTTAACTATACTTGTCCTCTAAATAACCTCCTTCCCTAATCCCTCAGAGACATCACCTTCAGGCTATAACAAAAATGATCATCATAGCAACAGTCCCATAAGAGCAACAACTAAAATTTGTTCTAAGTGACTTTGCTTTTTTTTTGTTCCTCACAGGCTTTTTTCCCCTTCACTAAAGCCCACATTTTGAAAAGTCTTTTTAATTTTTATTAGCGTCATTCTGCTCAACTGACTAGTCAAGTCATTTCCCTCACCCTTATCAAATCATATTTAAAATTTCTAAAAGATGAGCAACTTTTGACTAGTGTTCAACATAAAAAAATGAATTAAACATTTTTTTCGAACCCATTCAGTTAACAGAATAGTTTTTGTACTGTGGTGAATAGTAAGTAGTCTTTTATACTTACTCATTAAGAGGCTGGAAATTATAGTGACCGTTAAGAGATCAGTTTGGTGACACTACTCAAGATATGATAACCTTCCCATCTTTTGACTCAGAGATTTCACTGATGGAATTAATATGGACAGGGATTCATTGATCCTTCCCACCCCTTGAGCTCCTCTCAGATGGCTAGAACTTCCCTGCCAAGCTCCTCTCAGATGGCTAGAACTTCCCTGCCTTGCACGTGGAAGTTCTTCATCTCCAGCTTCACACCCCACTCAGGGCTTTCAGGCACAGCGTGCTGGAGGAGAGTCCACCCTGCTCCCCATGGCGCTCACTGTGCTCAGTCAGTCCCCGGCACTAACATGGTGAGGAGGCCATGTCAGTGTTAGCTCTGACCATGTAAAAGCATTGTGCTCTTGCTTCCTGTTGGCGAGTTAATTTGATGATGAAGATAGACCCTAATACCTTTCTAATAAATTAGTTATATCATAAGTATATGTTGGCATGTTTAACTTTCTGTCATACAAATGGACATTTAATTTTGTTGAGAGGACATGACTTCTAGTTAATAAATGCTATCCTTTAGCATAGTACTAAAACAAGATCCAGGCCAGTAAAGCAAAGGAATGATAATTATGCCTTGGCTTTGTTCACTATTGAGACTACGAATAAAAAGTTCCCTAAATGTCCTCTCATGAGAAAGGAAAATCACTAATATGACATTGTCATCTCTTTTCTTGGGTCACTGTGCCTTTGCGTAGGAATGCAATGTTCCCTTTACAAATATATAACACACATATTAGAATAAAGTTCATAACTTAATGCTTTTAACACTCAAATAAAAGTAGATAGCAATTTGTGCCTGGGCTTAATTATTTTAGAGTATATAAAAAATACATAATAGAATTAATAGTTGTTGCTATGCGACAAAGACAGCACATTTTAAAATAACTCTGTATTTACTAATTGTCATGGGTTTTTGTTTATTCCAAGTGTTGCTTTGATCTGAAAAAAAGGAAATTAGTGTGTATGCCGAACATTTAAAATTGGTTCCAAATGTCCAATGTTATTACTACCCAGTTAAATTTTGTAATTAAAAAAACCTCCTATACTCAGACTGCTTATAAGTGAGAAGTCATCTATTGACTATCAATTTTTATGCCATAAACACTGATAGTCCAACCAAAAAAAATACTCTAGATTATTATCAAGCTATCATATTTAAGAACATTTTAGAATTACACTGTCAACCTGTTTTTAAAATAACACTTAAAAGCAATAGTTAGAACCAACAAATGAAACCTTACTTCTGAAATGAGTAATTGTATTTATAATGCACAAGCAAGGGGCAAAGTTTACTTAAGAAATAGTCAACTCCAACATTAAAGAGAAGCCAGAAAATACCCTCAAATTCTTCTTCAAAATGGAAGGACCAATGGCCTAATAATTCCTAATGTATTATAATGAACGATAAGTAAAAATTAACCTGTAAAATACAAAAATTGCCAGGGATAAAGTTCTTATTTACAGAAATATCAGTTTTCATTTATGTATACTAAATGTGTGATTAAAAAGGATATTGAAGGCACTCCTTAATTTTTAAATTATGCCATATAATTTCTGAAGCATGAATTAACCGTAAAATTTCCTACCCCAAATTTTCTACTAAGATCATTTGATTTAAACTCTTAATAGAGATTCTTTTTTTATCTATAGTATTATTACTATATACCAGGCCTTTGCTGAATGCTTTCCATAAGTGTAATTTTTTTAAATAATATTTATTTATGCATACAGAACTGGGGTATAGGCCAGAGGTACAGGGGCAGAGAGAGGATTTACCAGAGTGGGAAGCAGAACAGGCTGACTGACAAGCACACTGCTGAGGGGAGCAGCAGGCGGGTCAGGAGAGGTCTGCCACGCCATGTGAGTCACCTGTGGGGCAGGCAGGGATCGAACTCATGCTAAAGTGGCTTTAGTTTCTTAGTGCTGTGTTTTAACCTGCTGTGCCACGAGGGAGGGCCCATAAGTGTAATTTTAATCATTATAATATTACTATTCCATTTCCAGATAGAAGAAAGTAAACTGAAATTAGGCACTCTGCCAGATTTGGGTAGCAAGTAAGTGAGAACTCATATGAAATTTAAAAAAAAAAAAAAGGAAAAGGAAATGCAAACCTCAAAACTTGCACATTCGACCAGGATGGACTAACAGGGACCAAATTTATCTTCCTGAGTTACTAAAATGCTGACTAAATGACAAACAGTGGGTTTAACATCAGACAATGAAGGACAGTGGTTCTTGGAGATAACAAAGACCGTCCTTATAATATCCTAATGTACAGCCTTGAAAGAAATTTAAGGTCATGGAGAAGAATCAAGAATAAAGGAGAGTTTGGCACTTTCTCTGAGTTAAGGAGATCTTGGTCTGAAAATCCTGGGAGACCAGAGTGGCTAGACTTCACATGAGAGAGTTTCACCAAGATTACTGGAGAGCTACAAAGTCCCCATGAATTACAAGGACAGTAAGTGCACATAGCAGAAAACTACCCAAAGTCTGGAAAGATCCATCTGAAGGGATTAGAGTGATTACTGTTGCAGTACAAGGCCAGTAATGGTACCTGTTCCTAATGCCATACTAAAAACTGTAATGTGAGGGCTCTAAGTAGTCTCAGTAGGGTCTGACATCAGTAGTAAGGAGTAATTAACTCTAGACTAAATGCTGAGCCAGTCCTGCCTAAGAAATTTAAAAGGAGAACCTAAAAAAAATCAAAGTAATTCCAATAAGCATAACTGCATCCCAGAAAAGAGGTTAAGAATATTCATAGAAGAACCTCCAATCCAGAGTCCCAGTGAAGAAGGAACATTTGGCTCCTAGTTGCTTCTGTGGCCTCTGCCTGGCTCTGTGCCCAGGGAACAGAGTGGAACTTGGGCTGAGGGGAGGAAAAGAGAATAATATGTGTAACCCCAATGGTCCCTGTCTGCAGGATTTATGTGAGTTTTGTTTTTACAAGCTTGACCTTAGATGTGGTTTATAAGTGAACAGAACATTCTTGGGAGAAAAGCCTATACAAAAGTATTCAGCATCTAAAACAAGGTAAAATTCATAATATCTGGTAGCCAATCACAAATCTCAGGCACTGCATTTGAAAGGTGCTAGGCAAGAAGATTGCTTGCATCACAAGAAAAAATATTTTGTAGTTATGTATAATGGCATATATTAATTGAACTTGTGATAATCATTTTGTAATATGTATAATATCTATCATTGTACACCTGAAACAAATATAAACTTATACATCAGTTATAGCTCAATAAAGAAGAAAGAGGAGGAGGAGGAAGGGATAATTGCTATGCTTGGAAGGAAAAGGAAAATAGAACTCACAAGAAGAGGAAAAATCAATGAATAAAAACTGACACAGAAAGGCATAGA